ACTTACCTCAGGGGCTATTCTCCTTTGCATTCATGTGCATATATCTCAATGATAATACAGCCCCTGGTGGACAGATTCTGACCTGATAATGCCTCTTGAAGTAAGAAGATTGGACACAATCAATAGGGCCTTAATGGGAATTTTACGTGGCAAGATAGAACTCTTAGTCTACACAGCCTCCCCACTCTGAGATGCTCAGTTAAATCAGACCTCCTCCTTCTCTGCAGTTGTCACTGTATCACTTATTAGCAGATCACTATTCATTTTCATAAAATTCAGGTGGTTTCTGGGAGGTTGACCCTCTATTGAATATTGGTATGCCACAGGGGTGGCCACCTCACACACATCCCCTCATCTGGACAGAAGTCACCCTGCCTCCGTTTTCCCTCTTGATTCCTCAATAACCCCCAAAGAGGCTTTCACAAGTCCAATAACAGTGTTTCTTGGAGTCTGGTTTTATTAACACAAAATTCCAAAATAAGCACAAAAAGGTCTTCCATCCCAGGCTTACCCTGGGCACAGCCCCACCTCCTGGAGGAACTCTCTTCCTCTGTTCTCTAAGTCTCTAGAGAAGACCCCATTCCTTTTCCCAAAAGGAAACCCAAACGTTCAGCTGGGCCTTTTTTCCCAGCCCCACTTCCTTCCTCAGGGACCATTACAGGAGACTGACTGACTGTCAATCCGTCTCAGTCTCTCTCTTGCATTCTGCATGTTCACTCTGCAGTCCCCTTTTGGCTATCCACTGACCCCTGTTTTCTAACCCGACAGAGGCCTGTTTCAAACTGTCATGTGACTAAATTCCTTCACTTGGGGAGGCAAATTGGCTGCAGGACAGGTGCGCTAAGACTGCTATCTCCCTTTAAAAAGGGCTGGTCACCATATAACACGGTACTGTATTTATGCACTTCAGATTTTTTTAAACGTGGCTGAATGGAATTTGTTCTCCATGGCTTTGGGCAGACAATGAATTTCTGTCTTGATCTCCAAAAAAGCTTCTGGAGAGACTCCATTCCACAACTGGGTTTGGATACACACTTTTTCTATTTGCCACGTTACTCATTACCAATTGCTTGGCTATTCCTGAAGTTAGTGATGCTAAGAAATACTTAGGACCAAGTTCTCAGCTTGGGTAGATCTGTGTAACCCTATTGACTTCATTGAAATCATGCTGATTTACTCCATTGAGGATCTGGCCCATGTCTTAGATTTGATATTAGCATGTTTTAAAATATTTTTTTAAACATCATTTGGATTTATCATTGCTTGCTGGCATGTGGCACTTAACATATATTCCATGTCAGTGATTAAATCAATGTTCTTTGGTACAATTAGTACCTTTACAAACATCTTCTCACTTCCCTGGGTATAATTCCAAGAAGAAAACATCAAAATAGCAAAAACACACTTGAAATCGGTAACAGATTTCTTCCCCCCATTCTTCCCAAAGGCCATTTTAGAAAGAATATATGCAAATTGGATCCTTCTGAAAGCACAGTATTTCCTTCATGGCTGAAGCAGTGCTAAAATCCATCTGAAGTTGGGTTGCCAATTTTGTTTGGACGTATTCCTGGAGGTTTCATCACATGACATAATCTTTAATTCCTGGAGACTCTAGGACAATCCTGGAGGATTGGCAACCCTAATCTGATGCCCACAGATGTACCCATCAGCAAGTCATGTCTGAGCTTTGCCAAGAATCATACATTTCATCATACTTTTCTATAAGGAGAAAACCAGACAACTGCCAAGTGGCTAACATCACAGAGCACAGAACCCCTCAGTTCACGGTACTGCAGAACACCCATTAAATACTTCTCATACTGCATGCTACTAGTAGGGACCTATTCTGATGCAACATGAACTTGTTTTTTCCCCAGAAGTATGTTTTTTTCTGTCCTGTAAAGCCACTTTCCTTTTTAAACGTTTTTAAATGGCGAGACAGAGCTGAATTTAAATTAATTTGTTGGCTGATGAGCTTCTGAAGAGATTCAAGGCTGAAACCCTGTATTTCTTTCTTGATTTATTTAACATTCAAACACCTCCTGCTTCTTCAACCGTGCACATCAAACTCTGGCACTGTTGCAATGCAACTGCTTTCCCCAGGACCGCAGTAAGCCAAGAATGGTCTTTGTGTTAGGTTAACACATGCCTCTGGTGAAACAAAAGATTGTGTCTCTGAATGACACTTTAAGGTTGCATAGCAATACTCTTGATATAATTTCCCTGTCGTCTTTGCTTACTTGCCCAGACGTTTTTTTCCTATGGTTATTACTATCAGTACTTCAACTTCAGCTCAGGTTATAAAGCTCAAGCTGCCATCTATTTGTTTCATACATCATCAGTAAAAGCAGAGAGCAGACAGCAGCTCATTTTCATACACTGGCAGGCAACCACAAAGAAAATAAATTTGTTTTCACGTTTTAACATGATAGGCTGATGCTGTAAGACTGAACAACAGAAAAGAAAAAAACAACAACCCCAAACTCTTGTTTAGACTGAGGAAAGATGATCGAGAGAAGCACAAAGAAGTACTCAGTGAGTCATTCTCTTTGCCCAAGCCACATATAATGATCACAAAACACTGAGGAACAAAGGATCAAAATCCTTTAGTTTAAATCATATTTTTTATATTCACCCATCAAATTTCCCCTGTGATCCCCAGAAGAAAGAACTGCCAATTGCTATATATCATTGAAGGAGAAATAATACTTATTACTTTGAGAAAAAAAATCTCAGCATATGAGGACCACAATATCTGGCAGAAAAACAAGGTAAAATTGTAAGTAAGGGCTTGTACAATAACTGATTGGAGACACTCGTATACATACAATACTGTAAAGCTTGTTAATCCTCACTGAGATAATCCATTTGATCATTCTTTATAACACAAACACAAAAACAACTATTCTCAGGTCCCTTCTTACAGCTTAGCAAGGATTTTATGCAGCATGAAATTTACTAGGAGTAAAAGTTTGTCAGGGTGCTGTAAAGAGGTCTTATATACCAGTAGCTTTTACAACATGTACTACAGAACACAGAAAGGTTGAGATGAAGTAATATCAGAAATAATCAAAAAGACGTGTCAAAATAAATGAAGAAGATACACTTGGTGATGCACTATCCTTATTGGACTACTTGGCTACTAATTCTGCAAGGGGCTGATCACCCTAAAGCACCTGGCAGGATCAGAGTCTACATACTGAGAGTTGCATTGGGATCTAATGTATCATTAAGCATTTTTTCACTCCCAAATACCTGCAATGAATGGATATGCAAAGTTAAAATGTTAAGATCCAACTTTTATTTAAAATTAATGAAGGGTGAACCTCAGTGTTTTGGAGGTCTGGATCTCAGGTTTGGAAACCTTGTGAGAACTAGCTTTCATGCAAGACTGTCCAGCAGGTTCTGGTATAAGTATGGATATTTAGCATTTTGATATCTGCCCTCTTCTGACTCAAACAAATGTTCTGACCCCCTAGAGGCTGCAGAATTGGACCCAGAATCCACTGGAGTGGCAGACACTCAGTATGCTATTCTTGTGAGGTGCTGAGTACGCTCAACTTCTAATGAAGCCAATGGGAGCTAAGGATGCAGAGTGCTTTGTAGGGGGCACTCAGACCCTTGCAAATTTGGATCATGAGTCAACATGAAGGGCAGACAAACATTTTATGATAAATAAAGTAACCAACATTTGTATAACCTCAAAAGGAGGTTGAATTTGCTCCATGTTTTAGGTATATGTCTTGTTGGTTTTAGTTTTACTGATCCAGCTCGTCTAGTCCTATATAAAATTGGTTTCCTTTCTGAAACAATATAACTAATAAAACCGATTGCCACTGCCTCTAAGTTACGAGATACAGCAATGGCCTTTTATGAGCAGAAAGCTTGCTTGGTTGCAAATAATTCTGGCCTCTACTGATGTATGTACAGACATTTCCCCTTTCCCTTAAAGGAGATAAGGAACAGGAGTAGCTGTTGCTATGGAAACGAAGCGCCACGCAGACCAATATGTGACCCAAAGGTGATAGCCATTGAAAGCAAAGTGTGAGCTAACAAAGCATGCATTAGTATAATGTAATTATTTTATACAATACACTCTGTCTGGGAACATAAGAACTGCCAGGCTGAACCAGGCCTGAGGTCCATCTAGTCCTGTGACAGTGGCCAGTACCAGATGCTTCAAGAGGAAGATATAAGAACTCCAGTGTAGGCAGATGTATTAGATCCCATCTTGGTCTCTAATAGTTACAGATTGGCTTAAGGCCAAAAGCATGAGGTTTAATATTCCAAAATTGTTGTAAGCATTAACTATAATAAATCTAGATATTCTGGTTACCCGTATAAATGTCCAATCCCTTTTTGAATTGTACTAAGGTCTTGGCCTCAACAACTTCCTGTAATGACGAGCTCCACAATATAATAATGCAATGTGTCAAATAGTATTCAATTTTATAACTTTTGAATTTGTCCCCTTTTAATTTTATTCTCTGATCCCTTGTTCTTGCTCTGAAATTGGGAGAACAGAAGCTCACAATCTATCTTCTTTATGCCATTCATTATTTTACATACTTCTATTTCCTCATATTCATTTCCTGCATTTTACAGTTATTTAAATCTAATAAAACACTTTGCCTCTAATTAAGGCTACTACCTGTCTCTCTGTTAAGCTTATTAATTCATTGCTGTTTAAACAGTGGACTGAATAAGCAGTAGCTTCTGGATATAGGCTAAAACACATCTCTGATTTGGAAAGTACAGCAGACCTCTCAACTGATCTCAGTGAGGCATGAAAAAAAATCTTTCCCAGAGTTAATTTTCAGTTTACCAGACAATTTTCTGAAGATAAGCCAGGCTCTCACAATTTAAAATCATTTAAATAAAAAGCATCTAACTGTGAAAACAGATGCAATGCTCTGTCTGTTAATTTATGGGACATCCTCAAAATTGCAACCTTCCCAGCACATTAATACCTTCACTGTGCATTTAGAGTAAATTCTTACCTGTCCCCCTTTTGGCTGGTACCGGATGTTGTCTGTCGATCCAATTTTGGACCTGACATTCTTGAGGTCCGGCAGAGGCTGGTTAATAAGTCGTAGTTGCTTAGGTGTGGCTGGAGATTTTGGAGGAGTGCGTATGATGGCGACTTTCTTCTCAGTGGGCACCAATATAGCAGACTTGGGAGTGCCTGGAGTATGAGGGGTTCTGGAATAGCTTGGGGTCCCAGGAGTGCCTGGGGTACGGGAGGAGTAGCTGGGTGGGGTACCAGGAGTGATGGCAGTGGATCCAGGGGTAGTGGGCGTAGAAGTGCCACTCTTTCCTGTCCTGCTGCGAATTGGCTCCGATCCTATATTGAAGACACAACAGCGTTAAAACCACATGGATAAATCGTTTTTTCTTCATAGTGTGTCTCCACAGACTATGACACCTATAATGATAAGTATCCTGAAGCAAAGCCCACCAACTCGATGGACAGACGCACACTGACTTCAGTGGGCTTTTGGATTAGGCATTAATGTAGTCTATATAGTGGAGATGGTTTCGATCGTAAACTTTTGAACAGCAGATTTCAAATATCTGGCTGCTTTCGGTCATGTACGATAGCTAGTAGCTTTGTATCTACATAGAATCCAGAGAGTAGATCCTCAGCTTGTGTAAACAGTCATAGCCACATTGACTTCAAAAGAGCAATGATCATTTACTCAACCTATGGATCTGCCCCCCAGGTAATTTGCTTGCTGTATGGATGCACGTCCTTGGCTTCCACTGAGTTTGCAGAGGAGTCCTCTTAGTGCACTCAAAGGGACTGATTTAATGGCCAATGAAGTCAATCGGAATCATTCTATTTATTTCACTGGGGATGGATGAGACCCAAGGTACCGGTGCTCCCGGGGCTAAGGAGAAAGCCTCTTTGTTGAACACGACACATTAAATGGATTAATCACTCTTTACTCTCACCTTCACTTTTCCCAGATTGGGCTCTTTCTTTCCCAACCAACCGTCAATCAGGGTTCTCTCATTGCACTGACTGTGCAGGAGAGAGAATGGGATTTTCCTGCCTCCCTGCAGCCTTTATTTTTTTTCCCCTCAGGCTTCCACCCCTTTTGGCAAACGCACTCTGGTATACATCTGCCCCAGCCAGAAGGATGGTCAAGTTGTTCATTTGCTGCTATGCCAGCCAGGGGTCACTGTGCACTGAGAGGGGCTGTACTTTACCCCTGATACTCAAACTGGGATTTTCAAAGGATTTTCAGTGGGATTTGGGTATCTAACTCCCTTTACATAACACAAGAACTAAGGGTCACCCAATGAAATTAAAAGGCAGCTGGTTTAAAACTAACATAAGGAAGTACTTCTTCATGCAACACACAGCCAACCTGTGGAACTCATTGCCAGGGGATGTTGTGGAGGCCAAACATATAACTGGGTTCAAAAAAGAATTAGTTCATGGAGGATAGGTCCATCAGAGGCAATTAATCAAAATGCAACCCCATGCTCTGGGTATCCCTAAACCACTGACTGCCAGATGCTGGGACTGGACTGCTGGGGCTCCATCACTCAAAATTGCCTCGTTCTGTCCATCCAGCAGCAGTCACTATCAGATACAGAACACAGGGCTAGATAGACCATTGGCCTCACCCAGTATGGCCGTTCTTATGTTCTTAGGCTTCTTTGAAAAAGGTTGTAAGAATGGTTTCTGAAGAGACAGAAGAATTCCTGCGGGACAGGAGAGTACCAAGCCAGGTTCTGAGGCCTGAGCTGAATGCTAGACTGGCAAGGGGGGATGTCTGGAGAGAGGGGTGGTTACATTTCCTTGGTCTTAGGGTAACTTGTTTAGATGTATGGTTCTATAGATTTGCTCCTGTGCAAACAGGTCCCCCCTTCAACTCCTGGAAATCCTGGCTGGTAAACTCTCTGGAGGCATTCAACAGTATACACCTTCCATTAGGGTACTTTCACTAAGTGTCTTCATTATTGCTTTCTCCCTTATGCTCCGAGTACAACACAAACATGGCAGCAGCTAGAAGCAGCCCCCTTTCCTGATTGCTGTCCTCAGGCTCAGCCTTTGATACTGCTTGCTTTCTTCTCCCTGTTATCCAACTGGTGAGCTAATGACGGCAATAGGTTTTCTACAGATACAAGTGCTCCCTTCTAACCTTCCAAAACTTCTCTTACCTAACCACACCCAGTACGCTGGGTGCTAAGTGCTGCCCTACTTATAGCTGCTAACAGCACTCTCACATTCTGATAAAAAGACCTTGCTGGTTAACTGCTGTGTCTTTCTTCTGATGAGTCACCCCAATAACTTACATACAACTCTTTTTAGGTAAAGCTTCTTTCTGGCTTGTCATTAACTAGGCACCAGGAGACCATTAAACCAAACCAACAAATCTTGGTATTTATTAAATAAGCCTTCCATTTTCATGAGATCATCACAATTATTATTATTTTTAAATTATACTGCTCACACTGAGTGAGTTTCTTTTTTCTGTTTGTTTATAAATGGTCTATATTAAATGTGTCACACAACTGGGAAACCCACGTGAAGGGAATTTTTTTTATACAAGAGAAGGGCCTCAACTGCAGCCCTAGGTCTGAGCAACCCAAAGATCGGTTCCACACCTGGACTCAAACCTTTGTCGCTATATTGGGTCACAACAGCACCCCAAATCTGAACATAGCCAATTTCGGGTCCAGATCTCTGGGCCCAGCAGTACAACTCAGGCCTACTTCTTAAAGGCAAAGAAAAGGTAAGGATGGATTTAGCAAGTGTGTGAAATATATAGCAAGGGCAGATGAAGGCCCCAGGAGAGTTAGGTTTGCAGAGAAACATACGGGTAGTCCGTCGTACTGAAGAGGAGATGGAGCTATTGAGGGAGAAAGAATTCTCATCTCTGTCCCGGTCTCCTGATATACCTCTCCGAGTGGGGAGGATGGAGGAAGGTCTTGGTAGAGAGGAACGCTTTTCTGGACTCTTGGTTATTCCATCCTGATAGGAGCAAAAAGGAAAAAAATGGCTTTGCAGTAAACATAATTATCCAGATTGTGATCTCTCACTAGTTTAATACACGTGCGATTTCATGGTAGTCCCTGACTCAGACCAGTGCAACTGAGATCAAATGACGCCCAGTTCCTTTACATTTCATGCAGGAAGCTCTGATGATTACCCAGGTCTGATGTGTCACTTAACTCCCTTGGGATTTACTGACTTTGGACATCTAGCTTTTAGATTGACTGCCTCTTAGGGGAAGAAATTTCAAAAGTGCTCAGCGTTGGCTGAACTCCGCTCTCACTGAAGTGAATGGCAAAACTCCCCCTGACTTCAATGAGAGCTGAGTTCGGTCAATACTGAATCCTTTTGAAATCCCACTCTAGTTTTTCAGTTTGCCTAAGACAATGCTGAACACATTTTTACAAGGCTCCTTAAATGTCTGGTTGACTATTTCAGGGGAAATTCCCCTCTGTTTATTTCCTAGCTTCACTGAATAGACCCTGAATATATATGCTGTTTCACTGATTTGACCAAAAATGTATCAAGGCCTGATTTCGCTCCCACTGAAGTCAATTTCAAAACCCAACGTGAGTTCAGTGGGGCAAAAATGGACCCTTGGAGCTTGATCCAAATCCCAATGAAGCCAAATCTGGGGGTCTTTCTATCAGTTTCAGTGGGCTTTGGCTCTTAGTGAAAGAGGCGTTCTGGTTAGGAAGTCATGGAACAAGAAATCCTGAAAGATCATTTAGTCTAATGGGCTTTCTTATGCAAGTGGAAGCAAAGATCCGGGGCCCAATCCTGAAGTCCCATGGGATTCCACCTGCAGTTGGATTGCAGGATCGGGCCCCCAGGACGTTTCAGACTCTACATTATTAGGTAACATGAGTGCTGAAATGCTGCCTTTTGAAGCACTAAAAGAGTGTTATATTTTCCTCAAAAATGAGATTTTGGAGAATTTAGGCTGCTGATTAAATTTTCAAAGCAGGGATATTAGCTGCTGGAGCCTTAGCCTGTTTTCTTCTTTATTGACCTTTTCCATGTTTAGATCAGCGTGTGTCTGCTTCTTTACTTCACTTAGATCAGTGTACATCTGAGTATGTTCAAGTATTTGTGCACTTGTGAGATGGGTAGCCAAATGCAGCCTGGCATAAGCAGGTGTCTCCTGTGGTAATCCCAGGGCCAAATACCAAAATTATCCCAACTGGTGCAAGAAGCATCTTTGTGGGTTGGTGGGAAAATGGTTGCAAGTGGGGCAAAGTGGCTAAGCAGTGTAGTGTTCACCAACTTGGCCTTCGGTGGGTGTGTAAAACAAGTGAAATGTATGCTCAGAGGGGCTGGAAGAGCAAGCCACCATTAGGAAAGTGTAAGACAAAGCAGGCTTCTCTTCCTGCAGCATCCTTAACACTTGTAGGGCTAAATTTTACCCCTAACGTAATCGGTCTCAGCTTTCATTGAAAGTTGTGCCCTCTTATGCTAGGGATTGCATTTGGTCCCCCCAGAATACTAAATGAGTGTAAATTACAAACTTACTGAAAGGCATGTTGGTGCTGCTGTCTTTAGCCACTTACATTTATTTTATGACCAATTTACTTCGGGGCTAGCTACTCTACTTTTGTAAATAGGCGCAACTCCACTGAAGTCAAGGGACCTCTGTCCATTTCACCAAGGGTGGATCTGGCCCTACATGTATAATTCATGGTTTTTGCAGGGTTGTAGCCATGTTGATCCCAGCATATTAGAGAGACAAGGTGGATGAGGCAATATCTTTCATTGGACCAACTTCTGCTGGTGAAAGAGACAAGTTTTTGAGCTTACACAAAGCTCTTCAGGTCTGGGAAACGTACTTGAAGTGTCACAGCTAAATATAAAGTGGAAAGATAAGGAGCTAACACGTGTTGCAAGAGACCATTCCAGGCAAAGTGGGCAGTTAACACCTCTACAGTCATAGGACAAAGGAGAGTTAGTGGTATAATTTATGTCATTTACGATACAGTTGAATTTATCCTGAAGAATCTGTAATAATCTCCTTTGTTTCTATACATGTTGTGTCTCAAGCTCTGTTGCCTGGAGCCCAAGTCTCCTGCCACTGGATCTGAGTAACTCTCCAAGTAACTTCACTGAGGCTTTGTCTACACTAGCACTTTTGTTGGTAAAGCTGTTGTCAGTCAAGGGTGTGAAAAAAACACCCCTCCTGACCCACATAACTTTCACCGACAAAAGTGCTGATGCAGATGGCGCTATGTTGACAGGAGAGGCTCTCCTGCTGACATAGTTAATGCCGCTCGTTGGGGGTGGTTTAACTCCCGCCGGCAAAGAGAGGATACATGGGAGACCTTACAGTGGCACAGTTGTAGCAGTACAGCTGTGCTGCTGTAAGGTCCGGTCTACACTATAGACCTATCTCAGTATAACTATGTCACTGAGGGGTGTGAAAAATCCACCCCCCGAGCAACGTAGTGATACCAGCCTAACCCCTGATGTAGACAGCGCTAGGTCTAAGGGAGAGCCTCTCCTGTTGACATAGCTACTGCCTCTTGTCAGAGGCGGATTAACTATGCCAACGGGAGAAGCTCTCCTGTTGGTGTAGGAGCATCTTCACTTAAGTGCTACAGCGGTGTAGCTGTATGTGACGACGAACCCAGGTAACTTCACTGAGACTTACTTAGATTCAGCAGGGAGAGAATAAGATCCATGAAATGCCCCTCTCTGAGCTACCTCTCTCTAACTCTGCTACCTTACCTTAGCATCTGATTTTGAGTATGGAAAGCAGTCTCTTGGGCCCGCCGAGGAGGGCCGTACAAAGTAACTGTCTGTATCGAGAAAAGTAGCCCTTTTAGTAGTTAGTGAGCAAGCTGAGCTGGGTCTTGGAGGAAGCAATGACTTCGCTCTAGACTTTGAGGCAGGAATCTTTGACAAAGAGGAAGTCTAGTCATGAGAAAACAAACAGAAGAAACATAACATGAAGCTGAGCAATGAGACGAAAGGAAAACACATGCAAAATGGATAAATGAAAAAATGCCAAGCTACGAATTACACTTCCTTTTTCCAATCAGCACACGTAAAATTCGGCGACACACATGCAAATAGGTATTGTGAAATGCAGCATTTGGCTCTGAGATCGAATTGACTCTACAGGTACATCCAGACAGCAGCTGAGAAATAATTCCCAGCTCGGGTACACATACACATGCTAGCTCTGTTCAAGCTAGTGCCTAAAAATAGCAGTTTGTGCACAGTGGCTCAGGCTAGATGCCTCAGTATGCATCCCAGAAGTCGAGTGGGATTGTCCTCAGGTGACTAGCCTGAGCTGCCGCCTGTGCCACAACATCCACACTGCTATTTTTAGACACTAGCCAAAGCAGAGCTAGTAGGTGTCTGTCTACCCAAGCTGGGAATCACGTCCCAGATGCTGTGTAGACATACCCTATGAAGGGCCTCAATACAGTCCTCCTTTTTTGCAGAGGCAAGTTTGCCCCCTCTTTTAAGTGCAGACGAAAAGGCTAGTTCGTAAGCATTTACTACAGGTGGGAATTTGCAGGACCAAAGATAGAGCCTGCTTTTTTAAAATCAAGTCCTGGATATGAAGTATTTCTCTCTCTGGGAATGTTCCACAATAAAATGTTAGTAGGAGATTTAGAAAAAAAATTAATGGTACTACTCAAAATGGGGAAATGACCTCTTCTACCGTATTAACCCTTAAAATCCAAGGTAATATGCAATATTCTGTACTCATTACACTCCATTAGAAAGATGGGCAGATTGTGAGTCCCTCACTGAACATTGGCAAGCAATGTCACACCAGTTCCACTGAAGTCACTAGGACTACTTGGCTTAGTAATGCCTCACTAATGTAAGGGGTTTGCAATCTGGCTCTATTTTTTTTCCCTCTTAAAAGATATAAGGTATAATGAAAAAGAATAATTGGAAGCTATTATCATGGCAACGAAAGCCTGATTCTGCAACACTTTACTCACACAGAGGTGAAATTACTCATGTGAGTAGTCCCAATGGGACTACATATGTGTAAGAACTACTCAGCACGAGCAAGAGCTGCAGAATTGGGCTCTTAACAATGCATAGTAGGACTGAAAAAATCAGCTTTACCAGTAGACACCATAAGAAATCAGGGTACTGTAAGTTATATCACTTATGAAACACTGGGCCTGAATCTCTTCTCCCTACTCTCATTTTATACTGGTGTAGCTCCCCCGACTACAGTGGAGTTATTCCTAATTTACACCAGTTTAAAAGAGATCAGAATCAGGCACATTAACACTGCTTAAAACACTTTTTAAATTGTAATGAAATAAAGGAATAAAAGCTATCATTTCAGTCCTGCTGCATTATGAGACTGGGCCTCTGTAGAAAGCAGCGTTAATTTGGCAGCCTCGATTGTAGGAGACGAGCTCAGTTCAATGACTGGAGATACTTTAATACTGTGAGTGTATTTCTAAAAACACCGCTTTTATGCACACATTATTCATTGTTAAATATTTATTATTTTCCTATCTAAAGTACAGGGAGGCATATAACTGATCAATGGCATGTCTGCTTTAAATACAAAGTGAATAATTTTCATAAAACTGTTCCATCATAGTAAAGTGTTCACCTAGTTAGGCATGCCTCCATTTTTGGGTGCCCAACTTGAGATACTTTGGGCCAGACTTACAAAGGGTATTTAGGTGACTCAAGATGCAGAAAGCCTGTGGGAGTTAGGAACCTAACTCACTTAGGCACTTTTGTAAAGCCACTAAACATCTACTCATAGCTTTAGACATCTAAATGCCTTTGCAAATCTGGCCCCTGTGCCTGATTTTGAGAGAGCTGAGGACCAGCAATTTGGGGCCTACAATCTAACCTAGTACTTTTATACCCTCCATCACTGAAGTATCTGAGCACCTCATAAAGACTAATACATTTATTCTCACAACACCCTTTGTAGGGAAGATATTACAGCTGGGCAAGGAAGGCACAAAGAGGCAGATGCTACCCCTCTTACTCATACTAAGTAGTATCTCACTCCATGAGTAGCTGCATTGTATAAAAGCACAGCTAATTTGGATCCTAAACACAGCCAGGACAGGGTATTGCAAAATATCTTCCTGTCTCTAAAAGGCTACGGCAGTTAAGGAGAAAGGCTGGTCTTGTGAACCATTCTGGGACTCAGGAGGTCTACTCCTCACTCTGCTATGAACTTCCTTTGGCACGGTGGCATGAGGTACTACTTAGCATGAAGAAAGGTGGCAAAATGTGACCCGAAGAGATTAACTGATTTTCACAGGAAATATGTGATGGTGCCCAACCCAGTGCTTTATCTGCAATATCATCTTCCATCCTTGACTGTCCAAGATGGGAAGATACTTTGCAAAATCCTGTCCTATCTGTGTTTCATCGTACGTTTGCTTTCAAATAAATGCCCATTTAGGGCCATATACTACCTTCAGTCTCTTGCAGAACTCCTACTGCTGCAAGGGCAGGCTGCTTATGTGGGACCAAGCAGTACGTGGCCCTTACAATAAGAATGAGCGCTTGCAATGGTTAAGAGACTGCTCAAGATGAAACGCAGAAACGTCATTTTATATCATAAGCCAGCTAGGGACGGGGCAGTCACAATGCATACTTTCTGATATGAATTAGCCAATGTTCTTAACACACAGCTGGGATGGGGACATGATCCTCCCCAGCAGGGTAGAACTGCTTAGCTTTTCCTGAGCGTTGTTCAGAAGTACATGTACGTTGCAGTCAGGTATTAAGGCTCTGCAAATGGACGATGAGCATACTCAGCTGCAATGCTACCTGACATGACAGCTGGAAAGGAGTTGGGGAACTGTTATGAGAAGGCCACTTTGGGAGGGTTGCGCAACACAATACACAGCGAAGCAGGAGGGAATGCAATAGTAATAGGGGACAGGTGCTTGAAAGGTCAGGATGTGGACTGCCTCAGGGAATTAGGAGAAAAGGCAGAAGGTGGAGGGGTGTTTCTGGAAGGGAATGGACTGGGGACTGAGAAGAAAGACCATAGTGGAAGCAAGAAGCGGATAGATTTCAGCTCTTTGCCCTAAAACAACTGACAGGAAGAGTAAAGAAGATACAAAGACAGGAGATGGACCCAGAGGAAGAATGCACGCTGCTTGTTTGTGCCAGTAGTTTTCCAAGGGCACTGAAGGCTTTGGCAACAAGCAGATACTGACTTCTGCTAAGGTGACTATAGACATTTACCTCAGAGGAAAATGAACCTCGCTGTTGACCCAAACAGGAAGTCAGTATATGCACTGTCAGCTATGTTTCTGGATGTTTTATTGAGAAATATCTACAGATCTCTCAGTTGTGGCTAGAGATGGGCCAAAATTGTAGCCCTGGATCAAATACTCATTTGGGGAGAGTTCAGATCTGGATTTGGATCTAAACTGGCACATCACTCATGATGGCCACAAATTATATAAGCTGTTGCCATGATCTTCAACATTATTGATTATAGTATCATCTAATATTATGGGATAAGCACTGACAGTGTGGTTAGCACGTTGCATGGTCCCTGCCCCCAAAGGAGCTTACAATCTATTTAGACAAAACAAATCAGGCACAAAACACACTGGGAGATCCAGGAGTATGGTTCAATCTTGGAGCACTTTGTTGTGATCGTTGTTCAATAAGGGGTAAGTCACCAGAGTGCTACAGTTGTGAGCTAGCATGTGTGGACTTCTTGGAAAAAGAGTTACACAGTGGGGATTTGAAAGAAAATAAGTCGGGCACCTGGAGCGCTGGGGTGGGAAGGGTATATGGGCAACATGTGAGAAGGGAGGGAGCGTGAGAATGACTAAAGGGGAGGTGGGGCAATACTCACGGACGGGCTGGAGGGAGTCAGAGGTGTGGCGTGGATGACAGCAGAGATGTAAGTGGTGGTGTAGGCTGTGCTGAGCCTTGAAGGTGAGGACGGGAAGTTTGACAATTTTGTTTAAACCTAACATTCTAAGATGGAGAGTGGTCCAGGACATGACCTCAGCTAAGCCAATCAGGAGGCACATTTGCATATGAGATGTCATTGGTTAACATTTTCCAGAAATCTGTGACCTCTGAGGAGAAAAGCAATAGAAATGTAATGACTCATCACAAGACTCTTTTCAGCCAATCATGAGGCAGGATTTTCTTCTTGTATGTAACAATCCAGCAAGATGACAACAATGGCCAGAAAATCAGATCAGGTAAATCAGTGCAGCTCCAGTGCGCTCCAATGGAGTTATGCTGATTCACACCAGCTGAGGGCCTGGCCCTAAATGCTTCACAATATTAAACTTTATTGTAACTCAGCGGCTGTGTGTCAACGGTGGATTGAGGGACTGTCTTTTGTTGTGTGTTTGTACAGCACCTAGCACAATGGGGTCCTTGTCCGTGACCTCAGATGATACAATAATACAAACAATACATAATAATAATAATAAAAAACCATTATCAAAAACTGTATAATTATCTATTTTTGTAATTCAGAGGCTATGCGGGGAGAATGGCTGTAATAAAAAAAATGAATATGACAAATGAATTCTAAAGGGAAGGCACAGTTATCTACTGAAATTAAAACAAAACCACCTGAGACAGGACAAAAAGGAGTTTTTAGAAAGATGAATGACAAGAGGATTATTTTACTCACTGAAAGTTTTTCCTTTGCTTGTTTAAATACACCTGGAGCCTGGTTTGTTTCACCACCTGCCGCTGTTAGACCCAAAAAAACAAAAACAAAAAACAAAAAAAAACCCTTGATGGTTAAAAATAATCATTTTGAATTACTGGACACCTTTAGTATAATTAATTGTCTTGTAAGCACCGTGCAAAGCAATGATCTGGTGAATTATTATATGCAGTATATGGAGCTGCCTTAAGAAATAAAAGAATACATTACCATATTTGTGATAGTTCCAGTTAATTTATTAATTCTAGCCAGCAAATCAGAATTATGTCCTCCTCTTCCTAGTGATCTAGGATTGAGAGCCAAAAATTTTGAGGAGTGACTTGTGATTTTGAGAGCCCAAAATGAGACACCTTAAGGGGCCTAATTTTCAGAAAATACTGAACAATAGCCCTCTGAATATCAGGCCCCTTTAAGGAATCTCAAGCAATCTCACTAGCCACCTTTCAAAATCTTGGCCAAGAACCCTAAATGAAAAGAAACTGATTCACTGCTGTGTATTCACTCCAATATACATGGCTATAACTCCACTGATGTCAATACAGTCACACTGGTATAAAAGTGGAGTAATGCAGAGGTCAATCAGACCCTGAGACTTTAGTTTAATATCTTATCATTCAAGCACTGGCACCTATCTTCTTTCAGTGTTATCCTGTGGTTCTTGTCTGATGAAACATGATTTGAGTTACATTTGAGGTGAAACTGATATAGTTGGACTTGGACTCCATCCTAGGGGAAAGTCTAGAAGTTGAGGAGCTCTTCAGAAACGTGTGTACTAAGTGTTCACCATGCTGTTATTCAGGAAGCTATGTGTTATGTGAACTCTCACTACTAGTGAAATCCTTTGCAACTGCACAGTACTGGACTCTGAGCGGGCATAGGAGGAAGGTTGGGTGGTCACAGCCGAGGTCTCTTAGCTATAATCCCGATTTTGTTCCATCTGTGAAACCAACCCCGAAACTTTGTCCAGGGTAGCAAAGATGGGTTTCCCCTTGGCCTTGGCAGTTGTCCCAGCACATCCCCTTGCCTGTAACAGTCGGGTGGGATGAAATCATGGTATTCTGCAACCAATCTCCATTGTGAACAAGGCTGCCTTTCCCACTCAATAATTTTGCCCTCTTAAATAATGTTCTTGTCTTGTTCTTTTTCTTTGATTTTAAATTGAGGGAGTAGGAGAGAGAGAGAGAGAGAGAGAGAGAGAGAGCTGACAGTTTAGTTCTGCATTTAGAGCTGAACATGCTCAACAAAACCCTCCTGCATTACCTTTTCCCACATCTGTTACTGCTGTTTTTTATTTTTAAATGTTTCTCCTTTTTCCTTTGGTATTTAACTCCAACTGCCTGCAGCTATGAAGTACAGAGCACAGTTTTGTGCTTCTGTGACTGACTTACCTGAAAGCATAACAACTCCTCCATCTGAGCAAAATACCTGGATCATGATGTCACACTGTCCTTTCGTGCTCTGCTACCAGTTTAATCACACAATAAACATATTTAAGACAAGGAAGACAAGCCTAATGCATGTTTGCCCCAGTTCAAAGGCTAAGCAACTGTGCTGGCTAACCCTATGACATCCAGGATGTGATGTCACAAAGGCAGCAGTGTCTTCTAACTTCAGCCAATCAAACAACACGATGAAAATTAGGATAAAGTTTAGATGATCAAATAAAACTGTCTTTTCCTTCTGCCTTCTTTCTCTTTTCATGTTCCAAGGAAGGAGCATCTTTTAATAATCATAATTACTGAGAATCCCACTCTTGAGGAGACTGTGGTTGCCATTAAAATAGTCAGCTTCTGCCCATAGTTACTACACAGGGAAATGCGTTATTTTCTGTCCCTTGAGATTATAGAGAAACACTGTGATATCTCATTTACTGTCTCATTGCATGGTAAATGTGGACAAAATGTTGACTTTTTAATGGCGACACCTGTGTCCCACACGGTTGCTCTTTGGACAAGTTTCATTTTTAAAGTACAGAAAAGGCTAACATGGAAGTTTTTGCTGCTTGGAATGTGCTCAGAGTTATACAGAATACACTCTGGGGGCATTTGTGGCTAGGTATCCAATTCGGCTCTCACTGAAACCAAAAAGAAAGCTCACATTGATTTCAATGGGAGTAGACGCTGCCTCAAACAAATTGTTTTGCATTCATCAAAAAGGAAGAATGGAAAACAGGCTTCTTGGTTTACACCATTCAGCTAGGAAAATATACCTCCCCCTCCAGCTCCTGAAGATGCCTGGGGACGGGTCTGGTCCCTGTGTTGGTTAGGTCCACCTGAGGGGTGTGCATATTTAATCCTGGATGTCTACACCCCAGCGGGCAATTCTATGAAATATCCTTCTATGCCCCCTTACCCTCCATAGCAGCAATCACTGGAGTGACCACTGATACAGAAAAGGGGAGGAAGAAGAAAATCAGGCGTTCTGTGTGCTACCTTGTGATTTTTCAGCTGTCTTGAGGATATGCCAATGTTAGGTTGTGGGGACTTTCTGTTCATTCAGTGATTTGGTTCATGTTAGTCTGCTTTACAGATGAGCCCAAACCTCAAAGTTCAGTTCCAGACCAAAATTATCCCAAATTTCAGATCCGGGGTTTTGGTTCCACGCATTATAAAGGCCACGAAATTTAATCTGATTCCGAACTCTCTCAAAGTTTGCTGATGTTTTGGATGAGGGGTTTTTATTTGATCTCAACTCTTACTGCTTGAATAAATTTGGAGTTTGTCCTTAAATTATATTTTACACTTTGGCTACCTGTTGGGTTTGTTTTTAATTTGAGTGAATTCCTTTATATATTACAATGAGGGACAGATAGCACTACCTAGAGCCAAAATGAGTGTGTCTAAGCGACGGGCAGGCTTCCCTATGTTTTTCTACTGACACACCTCAATTCTGACTAGAAGGCTATAGGAAGCAAAAAAATTTAGAGGTTTAGTGGTAGCCCATGGGAGGGAACAATAGCAGTATACATAAGAAAGAGATGTGGATATTTGCAAGACTGTAAATCTATAAAGCCAATGAGTTATGCCATGAAGAAACACCTCATTGTTTTAGCCTTAAGCCTCCCTAAGTTGCAATCAAATCATGCCAAATAGTTAAAAAAATCATTTATGACCAATGCAGGATATGAAATCTGGTCTGCAAAGGTGAAGGACTAAAGCATTAAACCAACTTGTGACACCTAGTCCCTAATCCCACAACACACTTTGGGTTCTTTGAAGAATCTTTGAATTATGGGTCACATCTTCTGGTCTCAATAAGCTCATGAAGTGGGTTTAAGACACCTTTACTCTCCCAGTTGTGGTCTGGAGCTAGTTGGAGCACACTGGAGACTACTCTAATTTATATCTTGCTAACCAAAGTAATAAACATCGTTTTTAACTTCTGAGCCAAGAAACATAAAAACATTTCCATTTCAGAACATTATACTCTGAATGTAAACTAGTGGGGCATGGTTCTCTTCTCATTTACCCTGCTGTAAATAAGGAGCAACTGCATTGCAGTACATGGAGGTGTCAAACTGTGTTATAGGAAAACCATGTCCCATCCCTTTAAAAAAAAAATAAACAGACAAGTCGAATACTTTCTTTCCACCCTGATCTGACAGTGCCATCAAGAATAATACTGGGAGACTGGAGTGAAGATGTTCTAATTCTGGTCTTCTGAATAAAGACATATCTATTTAGATATTGTGAGAACCACTGGTTGTGTCTCTCTCATCTTCCCCTATCAAATACTAAGATTTTGAAAACCACTTTTGCTTGAAATGCATTCGTCGTTTGAGCCCAGATTTCTTCTCTCTCAGCGTCGTACTCTGCATTCCAGATTCTCCCTGTGGGTTTTGGCTTGAAGTCATAAACATCAGTAACAGATTTGGAAGTGCCAATGCAGATAAGTAGAAATGAGCAATATACAAGTCTTCTTATTATGCATGAGAGAAAAAAGCAAAATAATGGATATGTAGACCATGGTTTAAGCTTTCAACACTTTCCCACCATATAAATTCACCACAAAATAAATAAACAAATACAAATAATGAAAATAGAGATTCCTACAACACCACATTCAAGCACAATGCCAAGATACAATCACGGCACTTGGAAGGCCGAGCAATGACAAGCATACATGATCATGGCCTCTGTCAAACAAATAGAGAAATAAAGAAATACCGAAAAAGAAGAATGATACAAAACACCAAAAAGTAATATTATTCATGAAGGTTGATATTCTCAGAGGAAAAATAAAAATAAAAAAATAGAGAAGCTGCTATAGCAATGAGATTTAAAAAAAAAGTGTCTATGTTTGCCAGCCACATTGCATAATTGAACACAGCACAGTCACCTGTCTGCTTCCGTTTAACACAGGAGAGATGAGTTGGTCTAGTATATTTGATAGCAGGTTTTAAAATGATTTTCCTGGAGGGAGAGTGGGCCTGAACTTCAGATTTTTTAGCAAGTTCAGCTTTCTTATACACTGCTATGGACAAGAAAACACAAAAGCACACAATCAGGAAAAAAGCCCAAACAGTTTTACATGATAACAAATCAACCATTGGCCAGACCCACTGCTCTGTTATTCCAGTTTGATGCTGTAGGTTGCACTGGACTGAATTGAGGAATTAATTAGTTTGCAGAGGCAAAGGAGTAGTGCATTGACCCCAGATGTGTTGCCTTATCCACCATATGGGCATAAAGCTGGAGTAACAGAGGGGTGAGCCTAGCACCTTGTTTTGACGTAATTATACAATGTCTGATTAAATAGTATTAGTTAGTACTATCATAACATTCAACTTCTACAACAGAGTAACCTGGCAGTACTGTACAACAGCAAAAATATGGTAATAGTGAGTGTTAAATGAACCTTTTTTCCTTCTCACTTCATCTCTGGAGAGTGTGCTAGGTTCCTTTTTAGCTATTTTTCTTTCAGGAGTAGAAATCCTGCCTCTCCCAGTTTTAAAAGGTTTCTCTTTTTTATGCTTATCGAGAGATGATCTTCGCAATTCTCTCTCTGCTTTCTCCTCTTTAGGAACAGTCTCTAACTGTTCTGTCATGATGCTCCTATCATCATCTGTAGGGTCAGAGCAAATTATAACAACAAACAGAAAATTAGTAACAAATGTTAACAATGCTTTGGTGGAGGGGAAAGAAATTTGAAAATACAGCAGATTGTTTAAAATAAATGGCAGATTATTTTATAACATTTCTGAAATGTGCTGAAATTATTATTACTATTATATTATTATTATTATTATTATTATTATTATTATGCTTTTTAATCATTATGGTTTGTTGGGAAGCAAAAACATTTTTTTAAAAAGGATAATGCACACCTTGAGTATCTGCCCACAGGCTGTCCGTGTCCATGACGGAGTCATCGATAGTTGTTTCATCTTTGTAATCATCATATGTCTCTGTCTTGTAATCGGTTAGCAGGATCTCCTCCTTCTCAGGTGAAGCGGGAGCTTCCAGCGAGCCCTCTGTGGGCTCTGCCTGGATGTCAGCGGGTTCCTCCATCTCCATCTCCACTTCCTCTTCAGGCAGGGAGTCCCTTCTTTCCATTTCTTCCTGCTGTGCGGCAGCAAAGCGTACGCTGTGAGAGGCAGATTCGCCCTCATCCACAGTCATCTGCACCACCGTGATGAAGTCATCCTCAATTGTCACAACAGACTCAATAACTCCTTTCAGTTCAGGCATTTCCTCTGGGCCAGCCTCAGTCGGAGCCTCTTCTCCAGCAGGTGCCTCCAACTTTATTTCTTGGTGCATGTCTGACACGAGTTGATGCTTATCATCATCTTCTTCTTTTTCTTCATCTTTTTCTTCATGCTCTTTGCCTTTTACAGACTCAGGTGTTAAATCACATGGTAGCTGCTCCGTGGTTTCTGCAGGTCTCACAGCTATGTCTGGAGTCGTCTCTTTAATTTCTTCTTTAGGCTGTGGTATGCTCTCCATTTGGATATCAGCTGTCTCTTCTTGCAGAGAATCAGGTTTTGAAATGGCAAGCTCGATGGAAGGTTCTTCCACTGGCAATTGTGATGTAATCTCTTCATCTGATACAGGTAGTTTCTGAGGTTCTATTTTGCGGTCATCAGGTTTCAAAGATTCTCCATTTACGTCTTCCTGGATTTGATCATGTTCTCCGCTAGACTCGTAAGATTCTTCTTTATCTACTGCTTCCTGATGCACCAGATCAGGCTTAGGCACTTTCTCCTTAATTTCAGACTCAGATAGTTTGGTGCTGTCCTTCATTTCACTAGGCTCAGTTCTTGAAAGAACATCTGCCTCCTTTGGTTCTTTGGGCAAAGAGGCCAGGTCCTTTTGCTGCTGCTGAGATTCTTGGGCTTCGGGCTCTGCTTTTTGTATAGAATCTGTGTCCTGCTTTGAACCAGCTGCAGCAAACTCACTGATCTCAGTATGTAGCTGGGTCTGGTATTCCTGGTCAGCTCTCCTGGCAGCAACATCCATATCGTGTTTTATAGCATCGTAGTCTGGCCTGTGTGGTGTTTCTATCTCAGCTACCTTTGGTATAATGCTAAGAGAGTTTTCTTCCTTCTGAGTCAGTAAAGAAACAAGATCTTTTTCTTTTGTTACCTCTTTTTCTAACACTTTGTCATATGCAGTATCACTCTCCAGCCCGGCTACAGGAAGTTTATCAACTGTACCTTCTTCTTTCATTTCTAAAATAGCATCAGGCCTTTTTTTCTCATGTTTTGTATATTCAAGGGAATAGATTTCTTTGGAATCAACTTGTTCCTCACTTTTTTCTAGCACGGTATCTAGCTTATCAGAGCCTTTTTTCTCCTGCTCAAACTCCCTTCCCAGAACTGTTGCATCACTGGAGATGTTTGGACTCAAGTCTTTTTCGCTGCTGAATTCTTCTTTAGACTTTTCAGCTGCTGCCAACTTCACTTCTATCAAAGAGAGGTCAGCTGCCAGTCCTCTTCTCATTTTTTCATCCCTGCCTTCATAAAAGGGGCAGATTTCACCTGTTAGGCTCTCGCTGTCCTGGACTGGAGAAGGTAGTGGGACTGTGTACTTATTGAAAACGCAGTAGCCTAAGTCTTCTAGCTGACTTTCAGCTTTTAGAGTTATGTGGTTTTCATCAGTCACAGGAGGCAGGGACGCACCACTGTCTTCTACAGCAGCATCAGAAGGAACCGATTTTCTTCGTGCCACCTCTGTATCAGCACTCACAGAAGCTAATCTAGACCTTGTGCCTGCTAGGTCTAACATTTCAGGCAAGTCAGGGGCCATTACAGACCCATTTTTGTAATAATCTTTAGCCAGGAAGGGCGACTCACACAAGGATTCAACCTGAATATTTTCTTCTTCCATTGCTTTTTCCTCCTCAATGTTTTCATCTTCTTCTGTGCTATCTATAGGGAAACAGGGGGCTCTCTCTAATGCCGGGGTGGTTGCTGGCAAGTAATCATCACCTTCATCCATGCTCCCACTAGTGTTTGTTAGAATATCTGAAGCGAGGGGAGAGAGATCCTGAGCACGGCCAAAGCTGAATCCTAGTGCTATAGAATCTAGACAGGACATTGGCAGGTTAATTGACATACTCCGCTGTTCTATTGCAGATCTTCCTCCAAGTCCTAAGCTCCTGCTTAGAGTCAAATCATCTTTATTTTTACTATGGATTTGTCTCTTATCCCCATACACTTTGGGATCAATAGTGAACATCCTTTCCTGCGGAGAGCTAGGTTCCTCAGACTTATCTGATGGAAAACTCTGAGCAAGAGTACTATATCCTATTTCATGAGCAGGGACACTGGATGGTTGATCCGTTTCTGGCTCTAATTTTTTGTCTTCCTTTTTAGATAGTAGAGGATCTGCATGATAAAGTTCATATGCACTTTCCTTAGTGTCACTTAGTTCATAGTAATCACTGCCTTGCTGCTGTGTGTCACTTTTTGTTGCTTCCTCTTTCAAAGCAGATGTTTCAAAATACTTTGACATTCCTGACCTATCCTCCTCTACCTGTATTTCATGAGTAGCTGAATCTGAGATATGGAATGTATCCTCCTTAGCATCCTTTTCAATGGTTCTGTCTTGACGAAGTTCATGAGTTGGGCCCTTTTCACTTGTTAACCTTGGTGCATCAGGAGCTTTTTCTGGTGTTTTAGATAACTGAACTGTATCTATAGGTTCTTTTGCTTTCTCAGGAACTGATTCATGGCTTAACTTGCCAATGGGGGTTTCTGTGCTCTGCTGCTCTTCCTTTTTGGCATCTACTACTGTTGAGACCCCAGTTCGATCAGTCTCTTCTTCTGCTTTGAGACCATCAGATGACTTTTTAGCTTCACTAACAACTGCTTTGTCTGGAACAACTATTTTATCTTCTTGCTCCACATAAAGTTTACTATCATCTAATACTTTGGAGGGCTGCCAATCCAGGAAGCCGTATCTTTCCTCCTCATCACTCTCGTCCCTTGTCATGTCCTTTTCTTCCCCCCAGGTAGAAACTTTCTGGATGGGTCTTTCCTCTGTAGTTGGTTTGGGGGCATCTGCAGCCATTGCAGAGACTTCTCCTGCCTCTGGCTTTTCTGTTTTGTCTTTGTGGATCTTTTCATCTTTCGAAAGATCTTTGGCAGTCTCTTTGTCAGGGAACTCTTGTTTTGTTTTGCAACTGTCTTCAAGTTGTGATTTCTGTGAGACAGTCATTGGAGTTTCTGAAAGAGGTTCACTTTTGGCAGCACCAGACACGTCAATTCTAGATTCTGAAGGCAAAAGAGCAAGATTACTCTTCTGGGTTTCTGTAAAGTCATCTTTATATGTCAGGGGTATAGCCTGGTTAGATGGTATCTGGGTATCTGTACTCCTTCCATCTGTTTTACTCTCCTTCGGCAGGTCAGCTGACAAGTCCCTGCGTCCTTGAGATACAAGAGACTCTGCAGTTGAATCAGCACCTGGGTCTGCAAAACTTATTTCCCCTTTCTTTTGCAGATCTGCATCCAAAGTCTGTCCCGACACAGTTGGATGCGTTTTCTCCTCTTCTTTGCCCCGTGACTCCTTTTTATCTAGAGTCTCAGTTTTTGCTGGCTGTGGAACTAAGGCATCATGTTTAGATTGCTCATCAGTCTTACTGTCTTTCTCTGACTCACGATCCTTTGTGTCTAATGGCTCAGCTGTGAAAGGGCCTGTGCCCTCCTGGTCACGGATTTCCATCTTCGAGGCTGTAAGTAAATCTGAAGTAGTTTGGTTGGGTTTTATGACAAATTATTTAAAGTACGTATAGACAGTCATTTAGCTTACAACAATATCTTGGTATGATTAATGGAAGGGAGAGGGGAAAATATGCAACCATGCAGCAAGGCTATTCAGTTAGAAATTTGTTTTAAAGTGTTGTACTCTCCTCTCCTCTTGATGCACAAGGTTTTATAAGTGAATTAATGATAATATGAGTTACACATGTAAATCTGTCTCCACTGAAATAAGAAATATACCCTTTTGTTTCATGTGATTTCTTCATACTCATTACTTGTAACAGTAAAATCATAAATATCCCTCAATTAATATTTGAATGTTTTGCTAGACTCTGAAGTCAATAAAAATTTTGCTTTGGTAAATATCTGCAAGATTTGGCCAAGTAACAGTATCCTTGTATATGTGCTTGAAATACACAATATATGCATTTACGTAATACTACATCTCTTTTTAAATCACAAGTTTTTGTGTGTCTAGCTTAATCAAAGGAAATATTAAAATACACAGTACATGGGCTAAGAGTAGAACGAGGGAGCTCATTAACTAATATCACTGCTCTTTTACATTTGCTTTTTAGCAAAAAAGCAGAAGACAGGTTATTTTCATGAAACTGACCTCATGCAACATGCACGGGATGTGGACCTGTTTGTATTTCCACAGTTGAGAGGCTAGCTTTCAGAAATGCAGAGCACTCACAGCTCCAAATGAAGTCAGTGGAAACCATGGGTGAAAAATGAGGCCCTGGATTATTTTAAAATTAATCAAAATGTTACTCTGACATCTGTTACTGCTATATTCTTAGCATAGTTAATATTCTTTGGTAACATTTTAATATCTAATTTATAGATGATTTATTAGTAGTTAATAGATTGATCTTTCCCTAGTGCATGATAAGACAAGAATAATGAAATCTATGCCAGAATGTGTTATAACATTGTCTAGTCAGTTTTCCTTTAAAAAAATAAATGATGCATATTTCCAAAACATGCTGCAACACATCTCGGGCAAACAAATTTGGATCTCCATACTCACAGAAGATCTCCAGTTGAAGCCAATGAAACCGTTTGTGTGAGTATGGCACACAGGTCTGGGCCCGATATCATTTTTAGAGCAATTTGAATTAATCTGTTCATCATTATTTAAAATATTTAGATAGGCTATCTTCAGCTTAAAATATTAACCACCCTTCTAACATTGTAAGTAGCAAATAAAAACATCCACAACTGTTATACTTCTTCCTCCTCTCTATTTTTAAAGTTTTTGTGGTGTTTTGGTGATGGTGGTGATTATTCACAACTTATATAATATGCAAAAGCAATGCCCATTAGCTGATTTCACTGTGGTGTCACTGAGACAAATTACTTACATGCTATCTTTCTTCACCTATAGTTCTGTACCTCTGCTGGTAATGCTGATGCACATACCACATGATATTAGCAGATACAATACCAAAGGAATTTCATCTTGCTCAGCCGGGCCCAAATAAAATGACTAGGACAGGCTTTTTGGAAACACAAGCCTCCAACACCCAAAATCTCTTAATGAGGAAGTGTATGGCTCATCATCACCTCTATGTTTCCTTCTGAAACAACTGATGAGAAATACTGTCAAAAGGACAAACCCTGAAGACTTACTTAATTCTTACTCAAGCAAAACTATTGATTTCAATTTGATCGAAACTATCAAAACTATTGATAGTTTTGCCTAAGTGAGCACCTTAGGATTTTACCTTAAGTGCCCAATTCCACACTTCATTACGAAGGCAAAAATCCCATTTGGATCATGGGAATTGTGCCTGAGCAGGGACTTCAGGTTGGGCCATAAACTCGTAATAAGCTAAAATAAATGAAAACTCAAAGTTTTGGCAATGGTCGAGGAGGGAAGGGAAGGGGGGAGCTGATTGCAATGAATGGTGAGGATACGACATAAGAAGCAATAGCCTTACGGAAACGAAACCAGAATGCACTGAAGCATAAATAAATAATAACACTGCACACAGCAAGCAAAAATATTTCTATAGTTTAAGCCTCTTTATGTCATAGTCTAAGTCAATAAGTCTCCTTTTTTTTTTAAAAGAAAAGCAGATGAATCTCTGCACCAAAAAGAAAAAAAGTATATACATAGATTAGCAATGTGACTGGCAAACACATCTGAGATGGGGGAAAAAAGGGCTGATGTGGCAGTATCAGCTTAGCAGCAAAGCACATTGTATCATGGCAAAGTAAAAAAAATCAGGAATCAGCTGCAGTGGTGGGAAACCATTCGTTATACAGCAGCTATGCATATTGGGTTACCTGATACATACTCGTCAAGCATAATAACAAGACCAATAATAATAATAAACGAGAAGAGGAGGAAATGGAGCAGCCTTGGAAAGCACTGGAGAAAGCAGGAGAAGAACTCATTTGCAGCAAACGCATGCACTCCTAAGGAGGACACACCTTCCTCAGCCAAGGAAGGTATATTTGCTTTCAGGGGCACCTCCTCGACAACTGTTATGCTTTTCCCGCTGGGTGACACACTTAGCACACTGTCTTCACGATACACTTTGGCCTCCGAACCAGAATCCAGCTGGCCCTCTGCCTGCTCTGAAGGCTCAGCAGACCCATTGTCTTTCCCCAGCTCCTTTCCAGGAAGAACTGCTGGTTTCGCTTCCTCAGCCATTGGACTCTCTACTGTTTCTTCTTCTTGGGGGATGGAAAAGGAGGTGACATCAATACCAGCAGACAACACAAAGTACAAAGTTCAGTAGGACTGTTCTTACAGTAACACTTTCAGCTCTAAAGGTGGGCTAGATGTCCAACCTCAAGGCCGTGTCAGCTTCCATCCCATTTCAAGTGTGTGTGTGGGGGGAGGTAGGTGGGGGGGGGTGCGAGTGAGTTTGCCTTAGAACGAAAAAAGATGTATTCTTTTCTGGTTGCCAAATTGCGCTTTGCATGGCAACATGTAACAGTATTGTTTCCCTCCTTGAGAAGCATGTTTAGGTTGTAAAATGAGAGCTGAAAGTGTTTTACAGACCTGCCCTTCCAACACGGAGATGACTGTAGATCAAACATCCTGAATACTCATTGGAAATGGAGATGGTGCCTGGTGGTAGATGGCTGTGAAAATTCTGATGCATCCATGTACTCACAAAGTGCACTGAAATTTTTTATAAATGTGCTGTTTTCTCCAGTGCAGGAAGTAACTCCTCTCCCTACCTTGAGGAAATTGAGCACTAACTGCCTAGTAAGTTAACCTACTACAAGGCACCTAGTTTGGCGTGGTGCTAATTATATTAATATTAAGCATATTTTTGGTTCTTCTCTTGCCACAGCAGAAGAACATTGAAGAGTGATTAATGAACTGTTCATTATGGGTCGGACTCTGGCACTCATACTCAGGTTGAATAGCACCTTACCCCATGAGTAAAGATACAATTTTGTCATGGAAATCACGGATTCCGTGACTTTAACAGTTCGCTGTAAATTCCGCCTTAAGCTTCAGTCCCCCCGTTCAGGCAGTCAGCCCCCCGCAGCTGTGGGGCAACGCCTGTCAGCCTCAGGTGTTGGGGCCCAGGGCTTCTGTGATTTATTGTTTACTGCCCACATCTTGCCTGTGAATTTTAATAAAAATCTCTTACCCATGAGTATTCCCAATGATAACAACTGGGATTATTCAGGCCTCAGTTCAGCAAGGTACTTAAGCACATGCTTAGTAGTCCCATTGAAGTCAACAGGAATACTTGTGTGCCTCAAAGTTAGGCCCATGCTTAAGTCCCTCACTGAGTCAGGTTGGAGTAAGGTGTTATTGAACCTGAATAACAGTGGTTGTATCTGGCTCTGTTTTATCGATGCTAAACCTCTCTGTAAAGAAGTGATTTTTCTCCTGAGGTTGGTTTGGTAAAAAGAACTACATTTATGCCTTTATAAATCACAAGAAGGAACATGTTCATTAACCTGTACTGAGAAAATAGTTATCCAAAGTACAGCATTATTAATTAAACTATAAAAATGAAATTAGTTACGTAATTCATCTCAAATTAAGAAAAGCCAGAAGATTTGGAATTAGAACTGTAACGGTGTCTTTCACCAGATCATGGTGCCTAGGTGTTGCAGGGATCTTTAAGCATAAATGGGTTTAATTGAACATAAAAATGTAATACACTGGCACAATAAGGGCAAGTTAATGACGGTGTTCAACTACAAAATCTTTATTTCCTTGCTTAAATACTTTACTTAACTTTTTTTGGCGTCATTTTCTTTTCCATTTATATCTCTTTTTAAAATTTTAGATCAAAAATGCAATTCTCTACCCCATTTTTATGCTGGTGTAACTTCACTGCTATCACGCAAATAACGGCTGCAGAACAGGTGGAACAAAGTGAACAATTTGGTCCAAAGAAAGTATAATTAGCTAAATGTTGTAAATAAATGTCAAAATTATAGATCATAATGGCTCTTTCAGTATTCTTACAGCCCATCACACCAATATTATTTTGAGTATACAGTTAAAAAAGAAACACTACCAAAACAAAAGTTACATGACATATCTTCTCATATGTTTTTACATTGTGGGAAAAAACCCTACTCCACCAAGACCATAGATTTTTGCTTTACTGCTGAGCAAAATTTTACCACTGGGTTACAATCTCCAAAACATGAGGTTTATAATGGAAACATTTATACCGTCTTAATTATAGCTGCACTACTGGGTGTGTCTATACCTGCAGAAAAAAAAAGATTTTCTACTTGAATGGACAAGCATCTGTATCTTCAGATGTCAATAACTACACACACAAAAGTCAAATACTAGTTCCACCTAAAAATATATTGAAACACTTGACTTTTCTAATAATTTCACCCCTTTCTAGGAAATAGATTTCCCTGTCTGATCCAATGCTATTATAATATTCAATACACTCTTCAATATCAAGCTAAATTCTCTGGTGTGGTAAGCCCGTCACTGAAACGATCTAATCAGTTCTTCTCATATGTTTTACTGAACAATTACAGATATTCAGGGCTATTCTTCTGTGACTTAAACATCTGTAGAATGTTGTATTGTAACCATTCTTCAGATCCAGTTTAAGTCCCAGGCTTATTTAGCACAACAGTGTTGAGTGTGACATTGTCTATTTGGTCTTGACTAAGAAGCCAACACTCTTTTCACTATCTGGAGTAGGAACTGACTCCACAAAATTCATTCCACCCTTCTTCAACCATCTTGATAAAATAATACAGCTAATTTTACTCAACTAGGGGCTCAGCCTAATAAGAGATGGGATGCAGAATGATCGCACCAAACTTACTTAAATGTCTGTCTTACATGCCATCTTGTTGATGACCAGATAAACACATTGTCAGCTGGACACATGTGGAATATTGGTAAAGACACCATAGGTCAAGCTAATCCCTATGAAGTCAACGGAGGTACACTAGGGATGAATCTGGCCTCCTTTGCCCTACCTGATGAATCAAAGGTGATCAGTCATTTTCTACTGCTGTCCCAGTGGATGGGTGTTGTTTTTTTCAGTAGCATTAACAGCTGGCTTAGCTCAGGTATCAAATGATCACCCTACTTTCCACACTTTCTCGGGCAGTGATCCTCTCCCAAAAGGAGAGGGAACAATTTATGCTTTTTTAATTAGCTGCTCCTTTCACTGCAATAACCAAGGCCATTTTACTACAAATTATGGACTAAATTCAACTCTGGTGGAAGTGGCTGCATCTCTGTTGGCCACCATGGACTTGGGTCCATTTACAGCAGTGCTGCATTTGGCTCTACAGCTGCAGCCTCCCCTCAGGGTGCATGGATTCCAGAGATAGATCACCTCCATGTGAAAAAACAAACAAACAAACAAACCCGAAGGGCTCTCTCCCACAGAAACAAGTTACTTGAGGCACAATAATGGAATATCATGGAGCAGGATGGAAAGGAGGAAGAACAAAGAGGCACCATGCCTGGTTCACCTTCATCGTGGCCTAAGAAGGCCTCTGCACTCTGCGCTGTAGCACTGGGGAATGTACTAGAATCAGTCCACTCTGAGCTGAACAAAGGGTGTTCATAGTACTCCTCGTCTGAATGGCAGGGGTCCTCAGTGGGCACAGACACTGAAATGGAGGGTGCTAGGTGTTTACGCCTCTCCCCACTGGCGGCGGACCTATAGCATGGGCAGCTGTGTAGAGGTCCCACCTTTTCCTCATCCCCTTCATCTACAAACAGACACACACAGGAAGAAACTGCAGGGAGAACTGGACAGACAAAGAGAAGACAAGACAGGATGGACACATGCACAGACACATCAAGCTGCTATGTCAGTGGTTTCTAACCTTTTTTCATTTGCGGACCCTTAAAAAAAATTGAATGGAGGTACGGACCCCTTTGGAAATCTTAGATATTGTCTGCGGGCCCCCAGCAGTCCATGGACCACAGGTTGAAAACCACTGTACTATGCCATACAATGGAGTGGATGAAACCAGCCATGCTAAGCAATGGAAGACGTGAGGTTTACATTCATTTAAGGTATCATTTATGTATTTATTTCCTGTCTCTCTTAGTGCTTATAACAACAGTACCCAAGCATCAAACATATCAATGAATTCAAAATCACTCTTAGTTATAGATGGACTATATGCTGCACTCAATCCAAAATTAACAACTTGTATTGAAGCCAATGGAGGTTACAAACATAGATAGAGGGTAAAAGGTAGCCGTCGTGCATCCCAGGACTGAGTTGAATAATCCCTTCAAAAATAGCTGAAACATTTGAAAGTACAAAATCTAAAAAGCTACTTTCATTTAAAAAAATCCATTTACTGTACTTTGGTAGACGCTGTTTTTGTTTTTTAAACCTCTGCAACTTCTTTCAGCTACACATCAATGAATGACAATTTAACCTAAAGAAAGATAGTTGTTTTAAGCTGGTGGCTATCCTTTCTGGGGTAAAACCCTCCCACGTACAGCTGCCTTTCAGCAGTTTCTTTTAGTGTCCCTTTCCTGCCCTATTGCTTTGCCATGTTCCTATTGCCTACCTGCTCTCTGCTGGGAGCTTTCCAATGCATTGTAATGAAGACTTTATTCATCTCCCACTGAAAAGTTAGAGTGTATCATCTCAGGTTAGCTCAGCTACTAATAGCAAGAGGAGGATCCACACAGTTTCTAGTAACATACTAACACAGGTGCAATAAAAAATAGCCAACTATCCAACCTATTGAATGGAACAGGAGCGATCTGAGATTTCACATCGTTTGTGGTGCATACTGAACCTTAGTGAACTCATGAAGAACTAAAATGTTAGTTTTCTGACTACTAGAAATTAAGTCTCTGGTTGACCATCACTAGTGTGATAGCTAGTGACCTGTTGACCACTTTATTCATAGGATATACTCTTCAGTCAGTATCTGTAACTGTAGATTACCTGTTGGGTTTTCTGCCAGCATGAAAGTGGCAAAATCATTTCTTTTTTCTCTCCTTCTTTGATATAAGATCCTGAATCCAACCCCACCCCACCTCAATAATGAAGAAATTAATCAAGCCAGTTAAAGTTTCCAGATCTGTGTACCTGAGCATCCCACTGTAGAAAGCAATACCACCGCGGCTGCAGAGTGCTAGTTCTAGCAATGAAACCTAACCTGGGTGAACACCTGAAGTAAGAAAAGACAATCTGACAGAGGAATGTGCATGAGTCATGACCCACCCCCGGATA